CAACAACCGCTCACCAGAGGACCATCCCAGATGTTTTACCCGTCTTTCCTAAATATCCCCGGGCTTCTACCCTGGTCTCCTATCCAAGTAATAACGAGACCCGAATCTGCTTAACTTCCAAAATCCCACAAGATCAGACCAATGTAGGGTGCTCTGACTTGCAGGACGTAAGAGCAGCCCTACAGTATTAGAGCTGTGCTGGAACAAAGCAACAGACCATCAAGTCCGGTATCCTTTCCATGGCTTGGAAAAGTTTTTTGATGGCACCTCTCCGATCACCCGGCAGAATAGGATGCTGAACACATTCCATATGCGTTGTCTCTTTTTGGTATCACCTGGCAGGACAAAGTTCCAACTAGAGTAGTCCTGGAACAAGCTGGAATGTTTACATTACTGAAACAGCGCCATCTACATTGGCTTGGGCATGTTGTGAGAATGGCTGACGGCCGGATTCCAAAAGATCTCCTGTATGGAGAATTAGTGCAGGGAAAGCACCCCAGAGGGAGACCCCAGCTGCGATACAAGGATATCTGCAAGCGGGATCTGAAGGCCTTAGGAATGGACCTCAACAGATGGGAAACCCTGACCTCTGAGTGTTCAGCCTGGAGGCAGGCGGTGCATCATGGCCTCTCCCAATTTGAAGAGACACTCCTTCAGCAGGTCGAGGCAAAGAGTCCCGAAACCAGCAAAACCAGGGAGCTGGACAGGGGACAGATTTTATTTGTCTTTATTGTGGAAGGGAATGTCCCCCTCGAACTGCCCTCCTCAACCACACTAGATGCTGTTCCAAGTCCTCTGTTCAGAGCACATGACCATGGTGTCTCGAGATTGAAGGATGCCTACTCTGCTCCCTTCAGGTCAAGTCTCTCTACTTCTTCCTGTAGACTCTACCCTCACCACAACCCTGTGAGGTAGGTCAGGCTGACATAGGACCACCAGCCCAAAGCTACCTAGTGAAAAGTTTCATGGCCAGTGGGAACTTGAACCTGGATCTTTCAAGTCCCTATCCAATTAACAACTACACCACATTGCCTGCAGCACTAGTTTCCCTGAAA